AATTAAATAAACATTTTTTGATTCAACTTCTGAGCACAAAATTAGCCATAAAGAAATTTTTGATGCTTTATAAATTGGTAAACCGTCAACATTAATAAATAAATTGGTACAATTTTTTTTAATTCCTTTGTCTTCCCAGTCGTTAATAATTAAATTTAATGCTCGTTTCAAACCCAAGTGAAGATATTCACCTACATCAGACATGGTTTCAATAGCTTCCGTATTTCTAGGTGTTCGTAACAAAGTCCGAGCTGTGCGAGGCAACGAATAATTTGTAAATAGGGATAATATTATCAGTAATGCGGTTATAGCGACAAGAGGAATGTTAAATAAAAGTGCCCAATTAGATATAGCTGTTTTAAATTTATTACTTTTCCCTTGAATAGTTTCTTCTTCCTCTTCTGAATCCGTAACAATGTTCATATCAGAATCACTGTCTGATATACTAAAATTAATCTTTTTGTCTTTAAAATCAAAATCCAACGAATATTCCGAATCTTTGTCGCTATCAGTATAACCTGGATCACCAGATTCCCTTCTTTCTTCTTGAGTGAAGTCTTGAGTATATTTTGAGACATGGCTGTCGACATTAACTGTATCATATTCGTCTTTCTTTTTTTCAGTAAAATTTGATGTTAAATAGAAATTAAAATAATCATCATCTTTATCTGAAACACATGATGTTTGAAGACTGAAATCATCATCATCTTCAGAAGAAATTTGTGAATCGCTATGACTAGATACAATTAAATCATCAGTTTCATTGGAAATTGGTTTGGGAGTAAAATTTTCCCAAATTGTCCTTCCAACTCTAATTTTGTTTGATTATATCTTAATCGTCGAAGATGTCTATTTGAATAACATCCATTTTTACTTATTTTAGGCATAATTTTAAAGGTTTATCTAACTCGGAATAATGTGGAAAAATCTAAAAAAATTAAATTGATTAGTTTTCATAATTATTAAAAATTTCTGTTCATATAAATAATAGCTAGGGTAACTGCACCAGTGGTGGATCATGCACCAGTGGTGGATCAACTGCGAGAAAAATGGTCATTTGTGTTTACACGTTTGTAAGTAAATGAACCGCAAGTGTCGGTAATTGTTAAGAAAGTTATACAGATCAATATTACAATTTAAAGAAATTTTTAAATTCATCGCGAAGAAAGCAGGACCAAAAATTCTAATAAAAAGATGATTAATTAACATTTAGTCACATTATACCTATAGAAATGAAAGAGGAGGGGATATGGATAGGAAAGTGAATTTGAAAATCTGTCCGTAAAGCCTTATAAAAGTTGCAAAACGTCTCAGTCTCGTAATTTTGAAATGCAATGTTATTTAGTATGATTTTTTAAGTGATCCACCACTGGAGCAATCTATAACCATGACTGGTGCAAACAGTGATCCAGAATAGGATCATTGACAAATTATCTTTGATGGAGCATTAAAGTAAACGTAGGTGTCAAAATCAAGTCTAACCTTGAAGGAAATGTCTATTGGAACTATCTAGTCCATAATACTATAAAGAATAACCTCGAATTTGTCTAAAAACAACCTATACAGAACTTCAAAATCAAAATAAGAAAGTTAAGGGGCTTAACTGATCCACCACTGGTGCAGTTACCCTATAACGAATCAAAACTATTCAAGCTGTATTTAACCCTAATTTGAAATTTTTATTTTAAATTAAAATATATTTATCTACAAAAAGCGTCATCCACAATTGCCTTGCTTGTTTGTATATTTAAAAAAATGTTGAAATTAGTGGAGGTTAAAGATTTAATGTTTCAGGTCACATTCTCATTTTCAAGTCTGTATTGAACTATGACAAATCATCGATCGTGGATTTTAATTGATATATAAGTAGCTATATATAAACTTCGTAGTATTTTTCACATACTTTTATATTCTGAAAAAATTAAAAAAAATATTAAACCTGTTTTCTTAAAATTAACCTTTATTTTCCATTTTTTACCCATTTCGGTATATTTTAATTTCTTTATTTTATTTTAATTCGAAAGCTGAAGTTTTTTGGTAAAATATATGTAAATATATAACTGGGTCAACAATTGATTTTTGGGAAAATGTAAAAATTAGACAGCAAAAATTGGATTAAATTTTTTTTACAACCTCTGTTATTCTAGGATTACCATTATATAAACAGAAAATTTTTTAGTTTTTCAATAAAAATAAAAAAGTTTAAAATTTTTTAAATTGGTTAAAACCAATAACAAATGTTAATTTTGAGAAAATAGGGGTAAACTGTTTTTTACGTTAGTACATGAAAAATTCATCAAAAACTGTATAAAAAGTTAAAATCTATTAATTTGTTTGTTAAAAATGAACAGATTTGAAAATGACTGTGTACTTGAAGCATTTTTTATGCTCACAGTCGTAATACTTCTTATTTTCAAATACGTCTATCTTTATCATAAATTTACGAATATTTATTTTCAAAAGGGTGTTTTTTAGAACTTTCTATGTACTTTTCAATGCCTTAAAAAGTTTTTTCAAGAAAACTTTTAACCCCTTTTTTATAATTATCAAGTATTATTCATTTGTCTCCAATTTAAGGATTTTAAAAACATTTTCTTTTATTTATATTAGAAACATATGAATTTTTCTGATCAAATATATTGTGGTCAATGTGAGATGACAAAGTGTTTTCGAAAAATGTAAAAAAAACAATTTTTCTAGCCTAGATTTTTACATTTTTTGATAGATGTGAAAAAAATGTTTAATTTTGACAAAAAGTTTAAATTTGTTAAATTGGGTCAAAGATATTTTTCAAAGAAGTTATTTTGGCATTATAGGTAATTTATTTTATTTCTTATTTTGTTGAGTAGGAAACGATTTGACACATGTAAAAACTGTATTCAACCATTTAGAAGTAAACAAATACAAAAAATATTGTTCTCTATGTTTGTCAACTCAGAAATAAAATAGTTTCAAATAGATTTTTAATAAATAGAAGTGAAAAGTAACCTAGTTAATTAATTAACTTAATAAAAGAGGAAGTTTCACTTCATATGTTTATGAAAATTTAACTCTAGTAAAACCTATTTTTTTAATTTTTAAACTATGAGACAAGTTTGAATAATTTCAGTTACAACAAAAAACACATTTACATACATATAAAAGTTTGTGACAAGGTTAAGAAATATTATGTTTAAAAGTTGATATAAATTAAATTATCTACTAAGCTTTTTTGAATAAATGAGAAATGATCTGCATAAATTTATAAAGAATAAATTTCATTTTAAATATTCAATAAAATTAAATGTAATATATTTGTCAAACTACAATAAAGAATAAAATATTTTCATTTTTTTAAATTTTAAGTTAATTATTTAATTATTAATAATAAAAATAATAGAAATTTTTTGACAATTAAATATTGTAAAATACAAACCTACAAAGTTTACTTAGCTTTGAACAAAAAAAGATTTTTGGTTATTTAAAATAATACAATACTTCTCACAACCATCGAGAGCGTTCTAAATATTTTAAAGTTCATTTTTAGGGTTCCGTACTCGGTTCGGAACCCTATTAATATCGGTTTTTTTGAAATCGTGTACCCTCCCCCTAGCGGCCACACAAATTTATCTGGAGGGCTGAAAATTAGTACACATATGTATTTTCGCGGGTAGATTACAGGAAAAATATAGCGAACTTGATTGGAATTGATTAACATAGCGTTGTCAAGGAAAAACCATGAATTTTTACGAAAAATGCCTAAAAATGACTATGTACCCCCCCCCTAGCGGCCACATATTTTGACATAAAGAGCTCAAATTTGGTACACTTACGTATTTTTACGTGAAAATTACAGGAAAAATATAGCGAACTTGATTCTGATCAATTTACATAGCGTTGTCAAGGAGAAATCAAAAATTTCGAAAAAAAATGATTTATTCTCCCTAGCGAACACAATATTCAACCCAGACAGTTCATATTTAGTATACAAATGTATTTTTACGGGAAAAATACAGGGGAAAAAAAGCGGTCACGATTAGAGTTGATGATTAACTTTTTATCAAGTTTTTCAAGAAAAAATGACAATTTTAGGAAAAAAATGTATTTTTCCACCAAAAACGAACAAAATTTTATTTAAAAGAAATTAAATTTACATATTTTAACGTATTTTTACGTGTAGATTACAAAAAAAATATAGCGAGCATGATTGGAGTTGATTATCAAAGCGTTGTCAAGGAAAAACCATGAATTTTTACGAAAAATACCTAAAAATGACTATGTACCCCCCCCCCTAGCAGCCACATCTTTTGACATAAAGAGCTCAAATTTGGTACACTTACGTATTTTTACGTGAAAATTACAGGAAAAATATAGCGAACTTGATTCCGATCAATTTACATAGCGTTGTCAAGGAAAAATCAAAAATTTCGAAAAAAAAAATGATTTATTCTCCCTAGCGCACACAATATTCAACCCAAATTGTTCACATTTGCTGTAAAACTGTATTTTTGCGTGAAAAATACAGGGAAAAAATGTAAGCGCGATTGGAGTTGATGATCAATTTTTATCAAATTTTTGAAGAAAAATGATAAATTTAATAAAAAAATGTATTTTTCCGCAAAAAACGAAAAAAATCGGACAAGTGCGAGTTACACTCGCACTTGTCCGATTTTTAAATAATACATTCACTGATAGAAAAAGCATTTTAAAAATCAAAATGTTCTTTGCATAACCTTGATTTATTATTATTAACCAATCAACCATTAGTAACCAATCAACAACATGTTTTTTTTATTACACGTCATTGAAAACAATCGATTTTCAGCAAACAATATTCAGTTGTTCAATACTTCTGTCAAAATCAAGATATAAATCGATAAATTAATTATCCACAATGAACACATCTTTAGGTAACAAATAATATTTTAATTATTATATTATCTTTTAATTATATTAATATAATATAAAAAATAATTTTTATTATTATATTTCAATAATATTCAGATATTTTAAATTACTAGTTATGTATTGTCAATATTTTATCAATATAATTTAGATACAGAGGTCCTAGAACTACCATTTTTAGTAGTAGAATTGGAAGATGGTGTTGTCCTGATTTCGACGAAATGGATTTTTAATAGAGAAGAAAATGATGAATTATTTTGCTACTATCCACCAACAAATAAAACCACTGAGCTTAATGAGATGGTCTCTAAATTGATAGATCCTAATATAACTTGGAATCAGTACACTATTTTAAAATATTTAAAAAAAACAAGTAAGTGCAAATATTTAAATCATATTTAATTTACTTTGCAAAAAAGTACTGCTGACAAATTTTTATTTTTTAATTAACAAATTGCTTTTGCACTACCTGAAGAATTTTTTTTCTAAATATTTTGACAAAAATTTATTTGTTTATCAAAAAAGAGTTATTATCTCACTCTACATACAATTAGTTTATATTTAATTTCAACCGATAAAAAAATTTATCAGAAGCTAATTTATTTAAACATTGTTGTGCGAAAGGTTATAAAATGATGTCACATAGCCTTTAATATGTTTAACTTTTATATTAAATCTTCCTTAATAATTAGTAATTGCAAGTAAACTAGCTCAACGATTTATTCGCTTCAAATTTGCTTTAAAATAAGGTTTAATACTTTTATTTTCAAGGGCAAATGTTGAACTTGTTAATAGATGCATCAAATTTTAGTTTAAAGATAATTTGAAACAAATAAATCGGTGAACGAAATATTCCGCAATGAGAGAAATTAGCCTGGCCTGTCTTACAGTAATTTATAGCTAACACTTAATTTATTAATATTTTATTATTTAGGCACATTAGAGAAAGGAAAGCAAAAATTACTGGAGGCTCTTGTAATGTCTGAAGTGGATAGTGACATAACTGAAGATTATGAAAATAAATATAAAAAATCAAGACAAGAACAAGCAAAAGTTACTAATCTTACAAAAGATTGTGGAATAATTAAAGATACAACGAAAAAACAACAAAGAAATAATAAATTACCAGATGCGCCTCGTTCACCTGAAGGTGCCCAAATTAAAACCAAGACACTTCCAAAAATTACCGAAATAAAAGCAATGGACAAACCATTTGAACTTCCTTTACCACCACGCAAACGTCCTAGAACTAATTTTTAATTTTGAGAATAGATTGCTAAACTAATCGCGATTTTACGATTTTAAATAATTTGAAATTTTTCATTAATTTTATTAATTATTTAAATTAATTATTTCAATTTTATTTAAAAAATTTTTTATTTCAAATAAATAAAAATGAATTAATTAATTTAATTAAAAATTTAATTATTATTAATAAAAAAAATATTTTAACAAAAATTGGTCTGATGGAGTTAATATTTCTCGTTTTTTAAACGTTTAAAACTTCTGGGACTTAAATTTTGCAAGGTTACATTTCAAAAATGATTATGTGAAGATAATCACCTAGTTGTAGAAGTAATACATAAAATTTACTTAAAGATATTGATAATCGGTTCAAAATGTTTTGAATTAAATATCTAGAGAACATAAGTTTTCATTTTCTAGAAAAAGTTTTGTGCTTTTAGATACAATAAATTAAAATTTAGACGAGATATAATATTTATTTATAAATTTAAGAAAAACATTATTTTAGATTGAAGCGTTAGGATCAATTGGTGGCCGTGACTTAAACAACGCTGCTTCAAATATTTGCTCAAAATTGATTACGAATTCCTTGGCTAATAAGTACAGTTGGTCGGGAAGAAAGAAGACAAAAATGTCACTTGAAAATACAATTTTCACGGAAATTATTATAAGTAAGTAATATGATAGAAAACGATTTTAAATTTCAATTAACTTAAAAATTCTCTTAAAAATTTTGTAATAATATTTTATAGTAAATTTATACAAAATTGTCTCAATTTCTACTTTTAAAGTGAGATATCACTTAAAGGAAAGTAAGAATACTTATATCCTTCAAATGAGAATTTCACGAATAGAGTTAAAAATCACCTTCATTTACTGGTGTTAAAAAAGTTATAAACATTTTTTTAGGTAGTGTCAAAGTCAGTTTTCCAACAGAAAAAGATGCTACAATAAAAGTCGTCGGATCGAAATGGTTAGCTCAGGCTAAAACAAGATTAAACAGAGAAGGGTAAATTTTTACTTTTATTTTTAAAATAGTATTTACTTATTGACTATGTTTATGGTATGAGCTATATCAGCCAAGCTTTATAGCTTTAAGGAGGAATTACATTATACTTTAGATCACTTACTTAATTGTCATAAAATAATGACTTAAGTACCAAAAACATAACCATTTTCGATCCTAAAATTAGGCCATATTAGAAGTAATTTATAAATTCTTGTTTTTTCACAGAGATAAAGAAAACAAAGAAAATATTGATCCTGAAAGTGAGAGAGAAGATGATGGAGCTGCAAATCCTGATGCTGATGACGAAGAAAAATTTTAAGTTGATTTAACTTACATTGAAATTTATTATAAATATTATATTTAATACAATAGTTATTATTTTGATTATTATCATTATTAACTACGTTTAACGATGTTGTGTTCATTAAATAAAAATACGTAAATAAAAATACAAATTTTTCGGTACTTTAAAATTATTAATTTCTTGATTGTCACTTAGTATTTTAATAATGTTAATTTTGATTAAAATACTTCTTTTCTACCTACATAAAAACATAATTTATTTTACGCAACCCTTAAAATTATACATTATTGTTAAATTTTATTCAATTCATGAATTCTTCTCAAAATTAAAGTTTTTCTTTTTCCATAATGATCTTTTAAAATATTCTAAAATATTTTCGAAAATATTGCAGAATATTTTTCTGAAAGATTACTGCAATGTTGCATCGAAACATTATAGCAACATTGTAAGTAATATTTCAACAACATTTCGCAGCAATCTTCTGGCAACTTTCAAAGTTTCTTCGAATATTTTTTTGGAATATTTCTGGAATGTTTCATGGGAATGTTCCTTCACGGAGAGAAATTTATGCTACTGGGTAACATAATGATGTTAAGGGCAACCATATTTAGTGCTAAATATAAAGACAGCGATATAGATTGTAGTATTTACTATCAGATGATTATAGAAATTTGATTGTACAATTTACAATCTTTGATGTTAAAAATTTTATACGATCTCTTTACGTTCTCGAGTGGCAAATATACACGAACCTAACCTCGCTTTTTTTGTAAACTTAAATAATTTCATTTTATTTTAATAAGACATTTCGATAAGAATTTAAAATTTAAACTTTTTACATAAAAAAGAGTATGTCTATTTTTTCACTCCGTCTATAAAAAGGACTTGCTTAAACATAAATATATTTATCAAACGGTATATTTTTTTCACAGAGTCAATTGAATTTGTATTATTTTACTAATTTTTAAGTTTAAAAAAAGTAAGAAAAAATATGAAAAAGTTTTTTTTCCAAAAAAAAATTTCAATAAACACATGTACATTTATACAAACGAAAAAAAAACTTACTTGATTTTTGTAATCTTGAAATTTTTAAAAAAATTTTAAGCGAGGTTCTGGTTTTGGTATAATGAGTGATATTGTATCATTGTCCAGTAAGTAAAACGATTCTTCATCAATTTCACCATCTAAACAACGCAAAATTGTTTTGAGGTTATAAACACGTTCACACTTCAGTCTTCGCTAATTCAATCAAAATAATAAACCTACCTCCAAAAGATGGAATCAAAGATTCCATATTCCACGACATTAATAAATTTTTAACAAACTCCTCCATTTTTTATTCACAACTTTTTTCACTATATATAAACACGTGCGTGAAAACACAAGGACCGCAATTGAATAGGCGAAGTACACACCACAATTAGCGCATGCGCTCACATTTAATTTTTACAATATTTGATAGTAGTGACTACAATCCAAAAGCTAACATATTTTACGTCTTTGGGTAACATCTTGGATAGTAAAATGTTGATAGTATATTCTTGTCAGTAACATAATGATAGTACCTTCCCTATTGAAAAAAAATGACCACAAATGCGATCGTAAATGGGACCCAAAATATGGGAACAATTGTGACCCCTAATATGCCCATTTTTGAGGTCGCCAATTTGAAACAGCATTTGTGCCCACATTTGTGATCTTATTTGTGCCCATATTTATGATTATATTTGTGCCCTCGTTTATGGTCGCATTTGTGGCCATATTTAGGATCATATTTTATTTATGAGAAATTTTTTTTTATCATATTAACTTAAATTTAATTATTTATTTATAATCATGAAAATATTTTTTAAAGGAAAACAAAATTTTTATTGTGAATTAATTTTTTTTTATTAAATATTCAATAAAATAACACATAAAATGACAAATTAAGGAATAATAATTTATAAAATTTTATGAACAATAGTCGAAGATATCAGTATTAATGTTATAAATACCTGTTGTAATTATTAACAACATATTCTTTCTATTAAATACATAGTTAAAAAAAATTATCTTAAAATATAACAAAAAAGTCAATAGAATTAAATAATGCGTAAAACATAAAGAAACAAAATAAAAATGAATTCGTACAATCATATTGCATGTGTAACTTCTATTAACTTTTTGAAAATTGTACTAACATGTGACTGTCGAGTTACGTGACCATTGCAAGGTTAATTTTTTAATAACATTTTTTGTCAAAATACTGAATTAATGGAGTTGAATTATATGGTTTTTCCAAAACCATTTTTATTAACACTCACATCGCCGTAAATGTTTATAACTATTTTTTACTTCTCCACAAAATTTTTAGCTCAATCTATCATGTATTTTAAGAAAAAGTTACAATCACATGACCTTAAAATAAGAAAAAACTTAAATTTTAATTTGTGCAACCAGCATTTTTATTAATGCTTAAAAAAAAGTAATGACTGATTACACAAATTCCGATTGTGCAAGAAATGATAATAATTATGAATTCTGATTCTTCAATAATCGATTTTAAAAATTTTGGCAATATATAAAAATAAAAAATTTAAAGTCCCGATTCTTTAATGACCGATTCTACAAATTTTGCTAATGTTTAAAAATTAAAATTTAAAATCCTGATTATTTAAAAACCGATTCTATAAATAATAATTATGCATAAAATGTTAATTATAAATTCCAATTATTCAATAACTATTTCTACAAATTCCGATTGCACATAAAATGACAATTTAAAATCCTGATTATTCAATGACCGATTTTACAAATTCCGATTGTGCATAAAATGACCATTGAAGATCCTGATTCTTCAATGACAAATTCTACAAATTCCGATTCTGCATGAAATTGACAATTTAAAATTCCGATTATTTAATGTAGAATTGGTCATTGAAGAATCGGGATTCACAATTGTCATTTTATGCATAATCGAAATTCGTAGAATCGGTCGAAAGTGAACCAATCAATAGAAGTTTAATACCTAAAATTTATGAGCAATGCCCATTCGATATTGGAGAATGAAATGATCCAAATAATTTAACAAACAACGGAACTTCTTTACATGGTGTAAAAAGAGGTGATGTCGGGAACAACTCGATAATCAGCGAATCACTACTTGTTGGATTCACGAGAACTGGATTTTTCAACTATTAGTATATCACTATTTCTCGGATTTGAACGAGAACTTTTCAGCAGTCCTTCTGAGCTTTCTGGGTTCTAACTGAAGCAAACTTTTCGCCTGCAAAAAATAAATACATACTTACTTACTTGAATGTTTTGCAAACAAATTTTAAATTATCTTAAAATAACGAAAAAAATAACACTGTCTAGCTAATTTAATATATGTACCTTAAAGGAACTTATGTTTATAGGTTTTAAATATATAAATTATGCAGTCCAACAGGTACATTTAGAGTAGCGCAATCCTTTAAGGTATTGATTTCAAGTTATGTCAATACAATGTTTTTACAAAAAATTATAGAGCCCTTGAATATAATTACTTTCCATGCTACATAAATGACACTTACTTTATTCAGTAGGAGCAGGATACAAACGGCGCCTAATAGATCCAATATGAGCTCCTAGATATTTTCCTATTCTGTGTATTTCCGTATACCGTGTTATTGCATTATTTTCGACGTCATTTAGTCGATTTTGGAAAATTTCTAAAAA